ACCCAAGGACAAGCGGAAAACAAATGAATACACGCGCCGTGTCAGGAAAAATAGCAGAAAACAATCGCGCAGCGGCGGCGGCGGGACGACAATTTGAGGTTATCAAGTCCAAAAACGGTTACCTAGATTGACTCTACACTTCCCACCGAATGCTGTCATCAGTTCATAAATGATTAAAAAAGTTATCTATGGAGGAGATTGTATGGATCAGGTCAGCCAAACGGGCTCATACTATTTGTCCATGATGTCCACCCTTTTGACAACATTATAATACCGACCATCTGGCAACGTGTCTATGACTAATGACGCTAGTAGTGAGTCACCCACCGTCGAAAAATCGATCATACATTTGTACTAAAAATATTTTAACTTTGCTAACGCCAAAGAGTAGGTAACCAACCTCTGACCCCAAATTTTTACCCCCTATAAAATGCCAAAAAAAAGAAGTTTGAGTGTTCTTTTCATTTTTTCAATTTTTTGCCTGTAGCTCCGCCGTCACTGTATCAGTTTTCAAAAACTACAAATCTTTTTCATCCTTGGTACAATAGTAACTTTGTTGTATTAAAAGACTGACAAATCGCCGGAAATGAGTGACATGGTTTTTCGTGATATAAATGTCGTATAACATCCAAATTCTCTAAAATTCTTGTTTATAATATTACTTTTCAAATTATTTCTTAAGTTATTGATTTTGGTGCATTACCATATCATTCTGGTAATTAGATCCATCGATTAGTAATAAAATGCATTTCTGAGATAAACTATTATTTTGTCGAAACCACTCGTATTATGATTAAGTCATAAACAGCAAACACCTATGCACGCGATTTTCGATATCCATTCACGTGGCTCTTTAAAAAATCCATATAATTCACGAGTAGCAGCACTGACGCAAATTAAAAAACAATATAATTTATTAAATTGCATCGGCGAACGACATAGATTGAAAAAAGTTTCCACACAAATAATGTATGACGTAAAGTTAGCTTGCATTACTTTGACTGACGTTTCGTTGATAGGCTCACAAAAATTACACTAACTTGCAGCGTCTGACGTTTATTGCGTGTCGTCAACATCCGAAATGTTGACAGATTTCATGTATTTCATCAGCGACACAAGGAAGAACCAACAGAAAATATAACTTGACACCCAAATCATAGGGGTTACTTGTAAATGATTAATCGCTATTTTGCATCATTCGCCAAATTGGAGTCGAATGGCGGTTTCAAGTTATAGTGTATTGCCATGGCAACCAAACGTGTATATAAAATTTTTGCTCAATTAGTTAACCGACTCAAAATTCAGTTCCACGCCAGGATACATATGTACCTACTAAAGGGGCCATCCATCAATTCATTGAGGAGTTGGATTCATATAAACAACGCAACTTGCGTCATTATTTTCATTTAACACTAGTGAAGAATAGTTTTTAGGATAGCTTAGATCATAGTCCAAGATCATAATGATGATTTCTAAAAATAAAATTTTCAAATGGAAACTACTAAAATTAATAAAAGAATATGTATTAGTCCATTTCACCCCATTGTCTTGCAACTTTACACTGTTTTTTGTGGGGGAAATTATATGATATTGCCTAGCGTGAAATTGTTGAGATTCAGTTCGACTCCTTTCCCCCACCTGAACACTTTACGTAATTAATAGATGCCCCCTAACCTTCTACCAAGACAAGTTAAATAAAATCAGGCTAAATTCTCAAAATATCCAGGCTTTTTTCCATTCCAAGATTTTTAACACCTTATTTATACTTCTTCATATTAGATATGGTCGATACCTTTATTTTCAAAATCTGTGATATCTGATATAGTTACTTTTTCTTCTTATGCCAAAACTGGCGAGGAAGTATTGTAATCGCGAACAATTTCTACATCAAGATATTATGTTTTTTGGATGTCGGATGTACCCGAAAAACCTATCTGTTTGTCAGTCTGTTCGCTAATTATTATAACCATGTATAACTTAGAAATTTCCGCTCGGATTTTGAACAAATTTGCTAACATGCCAAGGACGAAAAAGATTTGTAGTTTTTGAAAGTGGTAGCTAGGCGCAAAAACACGAAATAAATTAAAATCGCTTCATTTTTGACGTTTCAGAAATCATTTTTTGTAGAGGTTGAAACTTGGGGGTTGTAGAGGCTGGGGATGGTGAATGTAACGTCTTTAGCATTAGTCAGAGACTCTTTGTCATCAGAAAGCTTCTAATTCCGGTAACAACGGGAAAATCAAATTATGAAAGTCCGATGTACCTACGTATAATGTGCTCATAACTCGAAATAACTTGACAATACTTGGCGTTACGTGCACCGCGCGAGGCACTGGTCTGCAGTGATGTCGTCACTGACACATCACTACCTGAGAAATATTTATATATTTTAGCAATATTTGGATATTAAGGGTACGTACCACTTAGCATTCTGCGATTCTTTTTTAAATGATGATTTAACTGTTTTTTATCTACACATACATTTTCCTGAGTTTTATGAATCTTAAATGTACAACACATTTCATCTAACCTTAATTTGTGTTACCCCGTCTAAGATGGTTTTCTGAATATTTCGTCAGGTAGATTGACTCAGTACTTATGACGCATCCATGTACAAAAGACACGGACTGAAAAACCGACATAAATGAGAATCACGGTCCTGTGTGATGCATATATCTTTAAGCAACAGAAAACGCGTGAACCGAAGTTCGAATATTATCGCGAGATTAATATTTCCATCGTTTAGGTAATCGTAGATTTTGAAAATTGATTCAGAGGCCGCAGAAAGAAAATCACTGGAGCATAGTGTTACAACGTTTTAGAGATTCCTGCTCATTTTCAGACATTGTTTGAAGCGGATAAAAATTGTAGGCTGGAAGCTGTATGCGGTAAATGCTTGCAAATTGTCGATTTTAGTGTCAGTGAAAGACCTTCTGTTATTAAGAAGCTGTGTTGATCTCAGTGATATCTACTATGCAACTGTTAGACATAATCAGTCACGAATATTTTTCCTATATCTGTCATGGAAACAGAAATATATTTGGTGAATTTATAAGATTTGATATGCTAAGGACGAAGATTCATCATACCCAGGTGAATCTAAATCACAATTCGATTTCGCCTTTTGAAAGGATTCGACATCCCTTTTCTTTGAACTCTCCAAAGAACGCGTAGAGAGTATACAGTCAATCTACTTGACGCCGTTTTTGATATCAGTGATTTAAAACTGTGACGTGGTCACGATCAACTATTTTTTTCAAAATTCACTTTTTTCAGATTTGGCTACATATTCATATCTAAGGTATTTATATGTCTCAAGCTATTATCATATTCTATAAACTTACAAATTTTATTGAGTGGTGAAAAGATCTTGGGTCGATTGACATTCTATGCACTTTTTTTAATTTATCTTGTTTATGAATCAGGAGATTATTTTTATTTTTTTCAAATACTCATAGTTTTTTTATTTACAATTTCGAAATTGATAAATGTTTTTTTTTTATATTATTTGATATATACATCACGGAAAACCAAGTCACTTATTTCCGTCGGTCTGTCTGTCTATATCTGTCTGTCTGCCGGTATGTCCGCTAATCTTATAACCCCGCCTATAACTTGAGAAGTACCACTCGATGAAATTTTTAAACAATGCCAAGGACGTAAAAGCTTTGTAGTACTTGAAAATCGGTCCAGTGGCGGCAAAAAAAAGACCCAAAACGATAAAAGTAAAAATCGCCCATAATTTCTAACGAATGAGTATCCTGATCATTTTTGTAAAAAAATTTTGGAGGTAGAAAAACTTGGGGTGAGTGGGGGTCCAGTTTGTGCTAAACATCCTTTATGTTATGATAGGGGGGTTGCGTGGGAAGTGCAGAGTCGTCCCACTTGACGCCATGTTTTTATTGAAGTTTCTAAATGATGATATGTTGATAGTTTTTGGTCATTGACAGTTTTTTAACTCTGATTTTCCCAAGGTGTCACATTTTGCCGAGTATTATCTTATTTTTGATTGATGTTATTGTTTTGTCGAGTATTATCTTATTTTTGATTGATGTTATTGTTGCTGATGATTGATATATTGGTATTTTGTTTTGCTTTTATAAACTTTTTAGTTTTTTTGAAAGTATTTATGTGCAACATTTTGATTTCATGAGACTTTTCATATACGCATGGTCTTAGCACAGATCTGGTGTATTGAAATCGTTAAATATATATAAATAAAATAAAGAGTAAATTATCATGCGGAGAAAGGTATATAACAAAAATAGGAAAATAATGGGCAAAATCCGCAAAAAGTGGATTTGAGCAGAATAGGATAGGTAACCCGAGCGATACGTATTTCTGCTGGTTGGCTTCATCAGGCCCGAAATGAATGCACATATGCAATTACAAAAGTAGAGACACATGCCCATACATCCGGATACGGGTGTAACCTGAGGAAACAAAGATGGAGAGGAAAAAAAAAGACACACGAAGTCCACAACAAGAGCCAATTTTGTCATCCCCATTCTATTTACCCTTCAATTCTTATTGCTTGTCAATGAAATAGGATGAAAAAATTGATTCTAACATACGGGCTTTAGACAAAAGTAATAAGCGGAAACGCTATCATGGGTCTGATGCTAACTGAATTTCGGTCCTTGACGTAGGCCATCCGCCAGGATATATTAGATGCCTGATTTTGATTGCTATATCGAAGTTATCACGACTGGGTCTGATTCGTTATTGCCTTCCCGTCTAGTTTACTATACACACCGGTGAGATAGACATAAGTAACCACGAAACTGACCAACTCGAAAATATATGTAATTCCCACAATGCGCCCACAGTGGAGTACTTTGAACACATTATGAATTAGAATTTCCCAAGTAATGTCATAAATTCGCTTGTGACGTTATCACGTTGACGCTAGTAGGCGCCTTATCAAAACGGTTAAATGACTATTGTTTTGTATTAAAAATATTTCACTATCAATACTTAATTCAGTGTTACGTTTGCAAGGTGCCTGCTAAATGCTAAGAGTTTCTGTGTTATGTTCTGTGTAATTGTTCAAGAGAAGGTTTCAACTGCATGGACTAAGTATACCAGCTTAAGTAGGTATGTGATAAAGATCAGACAAATGACGATAGAAATCTCTGTAATGATCTTGAAAACATGATATTTAACGCGGGAAATTCCACGATTTAGTTTGGTATCGAAGGAGAGGTGTAAGTTTTAAATTCAATTTTCTCCTAACCTCAAATGCCCTGCGAACTCTGCCTTAAGGTCTATTTGTCAGAGATTCTACCTAGCCAAATAGAGTGTGACTTCTGTATAGAATCGCCTTGCATTCATGTGTTGCCCTTTTGGTTATTATCAGTATGAATACCTTTATTATTTTGGTCTCCTTTCAGACATGATAAAATTACTCTTTACAGCCGTTTCGGCCATCACGTTAACCGTTTTTAGAGTACATATCAATGACAAGGACATAATATGTCTACATCAATGTAGCCCCTTTCCTTCCTTTCTTCTTCCCTTCTTTCTCCCTGACCTTGTCTGGTGACTGGTCAACCAGATCTGACAGACGATACTTTATTCAAGAACAAAGGTCCCACGATCGACACGGGTGTTATGTAAAAAACCTATAAAATGTAAAAAAAATCTATTTTAGGGTGCCAACAGTCATTCCACGTTTGCTCACTAGGATCGTTCTGACCGTCCATCTATGGAGGAATAGCTCATTTACACGCATGGTTGGTTGCATAATTATGTTTTGTGAAGCCGAGTAGTCTATAGTGTTCATCTCTGAGAAAAAGGTTGGTTAAATAGCAGGATCTGGATCTGGATGATTGTGTGTATTGGTCTGCATGTGTATAAAATCAGTGATATTTGCTGTGTGAGAAAATCACTGAATATGCTGCCAATGAAGTATATCTATTAGCTGTGCCCGACAGGTGATTTATATGCTATCCTTTCTGAAGGTAGGCTCTGTTCAAAGTTATAAATTACTATTTTTTACGTTTTTTTGTGTTTTGGATGTTCAACACTCTTAAAAACATTGATGCAGCTTCCAGAATACACCCCTCTCCCCGGCTCATCAGTTTTCAATCGCGGACATCCACCGCTTTTAGTAGCACCGATGCAGCCAACGCCTCTTCCCGCGCTACAATTTTCAATCGCCATACATTTCATTTTCCTTGTCCCACCCCCGAAAATTTCTTTCCGAGTCCGCCCCAGGGCCCCTTGATATATTTGCAAGAGGGCCGCGCTGGATGAATCCTGCGCTGCACATTCTTACTATTAAGAGCTTCTTTACAGAGCTTTGAAATGCATCTTTACTGTCAAAATAGATATTCATAAACTTCTGTTTTTATTGTCACTCAACTAACATGCCTACATAAAAAAATATGATGTTAATGACCTGTATACACAGTTTAAATGATTACTAAATTAAAAATTGCTTGTAGAAAAGTTTCACTGGGCATATAATCTTGTTAATGAGCATGTGACATGCGACAACGAAAACAGGTAAAAACAATTAACATTCAACAGTATTGTAATTCCAGTTTTGTAATTGATTGATCAGACGTTATTCTATAGACTTCACGTTTTAGTACAGGCGCTGCTTTGTGTAATGTGCTAGCTCGCTTGCTGCCTCGCGGTTTTAGCCGCGGAACTTGTATATGACATCACTAATAAAGTAATCAAATTTCACTTGTATGCTGGTTGGCTGTCAATTCACTTATGCCGTCAAAGAAACAGGGTGCGGCAGCATAACTTTCTGTTTTAAAATGCGCGCCATTCAGTTGGTTGATAACGTAGCGGAGACTATAAAGTTCTGTTCTGATACAGTTCGGTCGCCATCATGCGTTGGAACAGCGAGGAATGTGCTTTTGCCGTCAAGACCTACTTTTCCAGCGGGTGTTCTGTGATAGCAACCCAGCCCAGCCCGCCTTTCGAGATCGCTTTAGTTTAGCCCCGTTGGCCCCTGTCCCATCAATTATTACGTGGATTACTAAGTTGAGACAAACTGCAAGTGCGACAAGACGAAGAACTCTAGAACCTGAAAACATTGAGGCAGTGAGAGTTTCAATGTTGCGATCATCACGGCGTTCTGTGCGAAAACATGCCTCTGCCCTTGGACTCTCCGATCGTTTTGTGAGGAGAATTTTTCATGATGATCTTCATTTACATCCTTACAAGATGGCAGCTGTGCAGGAACTTGGCTTCAGTTTTCATATGAATGCGTGTGATCCTCTTCTCGGAGTCGTCCGTTTTCATTTGTGTCATCCGTCAACAAACAAAACATGCGCTACTGGGCTGACACCACTCCTGGAGAATTGCAACAAAGTCATTAGCATTCACGTAACCTAAAGACACATTGTGGTGTGTAACTTCCTCATCTGGAATTATTGTTCCTGATTCTTTGACGAAAATGAAATCGCAGTGATACATGTTACAGGATATTTTCCACGGCTAGATGAGATGAATATTTTTTTGCAATAAGAAGGTGCGACGACATACACTTCAAGAGCATCGATGATTGTTTGGAGTGGCCGGCCCGCTCTCCCGATTTGGCCCCTTGTAATATTTTTCTAAGGGCTTTTTTGAAGTCCTGTTTTTATGTGAACCATCCAAGGACCCTATGAGATTCAAAGATCATCAACAACCAGGAAGAAATTACTAACATAACGCCGGCTATGCTGGGAAGAGTTATGACAAACGCCAGTAATCGGTTTACTCAGTGTATGTAAAATGTGGACGTCATTTAACTGATTTGATCTTCACAACCATCTAAAACAAAATTTTAGGCATTTAGTTCTGAAAAAGAGGAAGTTTATAACATTACTTGAATACAATGTTTTATGTTAGTAACAGTTTCAAGCGTTCGAAGTCATGGGTGCAGGTTTCTATCGCTTGACAGTTTTAGGTTGAGTGAGGTGATCGCAATCCACGCTATTACCGGCTTGACGCTGAGGGTGGAGATTGTGGCCTTCCTAAGGTATCAATTAGTAGTTATACAGATTTTTTGCATGGAATTCAAGCTTTTGGCATCAACTTGGCTGCAACACGACGTAGACCCAAATCGTTGATCAAAGTGCTTTGAACGGATCCAGAAGCACTGCTCAAGTCCTTTGCCATCTCTCTGATAGTTAATTTCCGGTTGGTGGCTAACATTCTCTTCACTTTGTCTACATTTTCTTCTGTTTTCGATGTCGATGGCCTGCCGCTGCGCTTATCATGGGTGATGGACTGGCGACCTTCTGTGACACGTGGAGAACGGCTGTTTGTTCGTTGCTGAAACGTTTTCCTAGCATTTCCGTGGTTTGCGTACCGTTGATATTGTTTTTAACACAAAATGTAATGCAAACGCGTTGTTGTTCATTCAGATCCATTTCATAAATCCTAATAAATCGTGAACACGCTCAAAGGCACATGTACCCAACTCGAAGTAGGTTTGACAACTGATGATGAAATGACTCCAAAATTCGGGGGGAATATCAGTAAAAGTTGGGCACCATAACAAGACTAACAGAATGGACAGCCGAGTGCTACGAGCGCCACACGGCGACCATTCCGGGAACTTTTTCATCAAGGTGGTATATACGTATATTTCAGAATATAATCTATTTCTGTAGACAAATTTCATCCCAATCGGTTCAGTCTTTTTGGCGTGTTTGAGTAACAGACATCCACACTTATACACACATTTATAATATTAGTAAGTCTGAGAAGTAGGGATGCGTACCGCATTTATCACCCGAATTCTCGCCAGTACAACTTTTGTCGCTTCTTGCTCCTCTTGTCTATATGATTCACCTGAGTAACACAAGTTCGAACAATTTCCATGTCAAGAATATTTTGAGGAAGCATAAGCCTCATTCCTTTTTCTCAACGATCATTATGACTCTCTGAAGAGATCTCAAGATGCTAGTTTATATTTCGGTTTACATGAAAAAATGCTTAATCTTTAGAAAGTTTCAACGAAAGGATTGCACTCTGGAGAAAGGACTGTAGGACTAGTAAAGTGGTTTCTAGTACATTTCGGTTCAATAGTCCAATAGGTCGCGCTCACTAAAACGAACTAGTCCTGGGAAATAATTCGCGAACGACCTATTTTACACAAGAATAATGTCAGAAAAAGCATCGCCTCTCAATCTTTCATCCGATCGCTGGAGTTAAGCAGCATCGGGCGTGGTTTTTATTTGGATGGGTAACCGCTTCGGAACACCTCGTATCGTTGTCGTTTTTTTTTTCATTTTTTTACTAAGATGGACATTTCAAATTTAAACTCTCAACCTAAATTGTCGCTTACATACTGGCTATGAGGTTTACACGTTTTCTAACGATCTCAAGTAATGTGAGATACACTTATGTTTTTGGTTTTCATCAGTTCCCAAGATGTTTAATAAATAATACGAGTACATACCTCTGATAAGGGTAGCCAAATGTTCCCCTTTTCGGAGAATGATCCTCGTTTTTTAACGTCAAGTTTTTTATTGCTTTCTCTATTTCCCCAAATGTTCTCCTTTACTAGTTTCCCACTATTGTGACACAATGATAGCTTGTGTTCTTCCATAGTTTTTGGTCTCTTCTATTGTTAGGAAATAAACATGCTGTTTTTCTTTAATTATGACATTTCCCACTATGAAAAAGGGTTGGTACTGCTGTACATTGTAGTAATGTACTAATTGTAAATACATATCCTTTGTTCATGATAGAAAATGGAAATTTGTAGTTAATTTACATTTTCATTTTAGTATTATTTAATTTCTTGATGAGCCTTTTATAAAAGTTAGCTAGTGTTTATTTCTGCCATCCTTTATAACAGCGTTTGTCATCGTTTTTGATGACCTCCAGGCAACCAGTTACACAGCTTTCTGCTCACTGTTGTGATCCGTCTCGTTCCTCCTATTTTGTTCTAATTCGTTCACTCACAACTAGTTCGATTGGATCATCGGGATCCTGTAATACCAGTCGTTCATAGTGAATCAGTGAACGAGTTTTCCAAGGATTGATGAAATAGTTCACTTAGTTCAATCATAAGAATCGTTCGATTGAACTAGTTCGTTCGAGAACTAATACACACCACTACTATCGAACTCGATCAATGATAACTGAGCTCCTTCAGTATTCATTCATAAAAAGCGAGTGGCACATTCGTAGTATATAAGGAATGCGAGGAATTTAAATCCATGAGTAACAACGATTCAAAATACAAATATGATTATGGTCATACGATGGAAGTCAACGCCAAGCCAAGGACAGGAAGATTAAAAATAAAAATATGAATGGTAGGCAGTATTACTTCCGCATAGCTGTTATTCACAGGAACGTTTATTTTGTCTAAAGTACCGTACGTATTGAAACGACAGGAAATACTATTAGCTATTTGGTCTTACTATTCGTTATTTGTTTGTCTCGGTGGTCGGTAGGAGCTTTGCCCATTAGTCACTGTCTAACGTACGAATCTGTCAGCCCAGAAACCAGACAATTGACAAGAAAAAATAGAAAGGGAAAAAGAAGAAAAAAGGAGAAGAACAAAGAAAAACAGAACAATATCAGTTTAAGAGGAAACACCTAGGCTTTTTGACTTGATAAACGGATTAATTTTGAGGTGAACTGAAAAGAAATGTTGATTCAGGTTTTGTTAGAGTGAAACTTTGGTTTTACTAAAAGTTCGCGCTTTTTGATCACAATACGAGCCTTGGCGTTGAATGTTTACGAACTTGCTCCACTGTGTAGTTCACTGAGTCACGCAACAGAGGGTTGCTCTGCGATTCCGCATGACTATAACGTTGCTGCATCCGTAGCC